GCTGAAGGTTTGAGGGAAGTCCCCGCTGTAAGAGTTCACATTAGCAAAGGCTGTCTGCCAAGTCCCTTTGTCAGCACGCTGTCCCCGGGGAGGACCTGCCCACACATCCACACAATGGTACGCATCGTAGGTGCCGTAGTCTGAGCACGGGCTGGAAGGAGAACTTCCAGACACCAAGTATTTTAGAAAAGAGCGAGTTTATTGAGAACAAACAGCAGAGATGGTGAGGGGCCCTGCAAACACAGCGGGCCAACTTCCTGCTAGACCAGGGGGAGCAGGCCCCCTTTGCAGGCTGGTAGCCAACTTTATAGCCTCGAGACAAAGAAAATTCCTGCTGGCAGGGTAAGGCTCGGGGCAGGATGGCATTGGGTGGATTGGTCAGATGCTACAAGGTGACTACATGGTGATTATTTTGCCTAATATGGAGCCGGGGGCTGTCCGGTTTAGGTCAGGAGAGCCCATGGCAACAGTTGCTATGGGGGCTCGGTTAATTCTGGAGTTTTTGTCCTGTGTCCTTGATGTAGTGTGTCCTTGATGTAGGGCTCCACAGTAGGGACACCGGATCTCGGGAGCTTTTCTTCAGACACTCCAAGCTTGTTTTCAGTTCTTTTAGGAGTTTTATCCAAAGATGTTTTGAATTTGAGTCAATAATTTTCCTCCCAAGGTGAATAACGGTCTGTGATGGAGACAAAGATGATGGTTTACCCTCTGCTATCGAGTTGACTTGGGACAGAACAGACGCACTTTTCCCCGGCGTGTGGTTCCTGTGTCTCCAGAAAGTTCATACGGTGACGGCTTCTGAGCACAGTGCCTTCTGTCCAGAACCCTCCAGTCGCCTTGTGTGCCTTTCTCCTAGAACATGATGCAGGTTTCCTCGACACATTCTGGGCAGGATCACAGCGGAGTGTCCGGTCACCGCTCACGGGCAGCGATGACCCTTTTCTCCCCCAGCTGAGGGAGCAGGTGTTGGAAACGGCAGTCTTGGTTGAGATGGTCTTTGCCTCTCTGACCTCACGGTTAGACATCGTCCAGCTCTCAGCTGGACCTTGGCAGGGTGGCCGGGGCCTGGGCTCTGAGCCCGAAGGGCCCGCCTGTGGTTGTGACCACCGGCCTTTATGTCTCTGTCCCTCCAGCCACTGTGAGCACAGGCCTCGTGACCCTGCTCGCTGAGTGCACGGGGCAGGGGGAGGGCAGGGGAGCTGCTCCGTGGGGAGCAGGCCCCAGAGGCACTGGGGGTCCGGCCCCCCTGCCTTGTCGTGTGGGGGCCTGGGGTCCCCTCCCCCCGGGCCCAGTTCCAAGCCCCACTGCGCTCAGGCCCCGACTTCTCCACCACCACGCCTGCTGCCTTCCAGCGGCCCCTCCTCTGCTGCCAGCAGCGCCTCTCCTGCCCCGAAGCCCCTTCTGCTGGACTTCCTGATCCTTCAGGCCACCGTCTCTCTTCTGTCTTCTAGCCGTTCCCAAACAGCTCCGATGAGCAGTTTCATTTATTACTGTTACTATTAATTTCATTTAATTCTTGCGCTGGCCCCTTAAGGACTTTGTCGTTCTTGCCGTACAGTAGACAAGGAAACTGAAGCTCAGAACGGCTAAGTCACTTCCCCAGAGACATACAGTCAGCGTGGGGCTGAGCCCCGCAAGGAGCGCAGAGTCCTGTGCTGCTAGCCTCTCGTGATACACGCCTCCAAAACGTTCACATTGCTTCGAGGGCAAAACAGAAACGCATAGTTGTATTTCAGCGACTGCTGACTTCCTGTGAGTTCTCTGCTAAGAGCGTTACGTGGACCTGGTGTTTACACATCACAGCACTCAGGGAGGATGTTGAAGCGGGTGTCCTCCTGGCACACGTGATAAAACTGAAGTCCCTGGGGTTTAATAACTCAGCCAAGCCAAGCGGCCAGTGCCCTGGAATTCAGGCATTTTCATCGCTCATGTCGTACAGCCTCCCAGACACAGAGCAGTGCGGAACAACACACAGAACATTATTCGCTGATTTTAACCCTTCTCTGGGTCACACGGTGGTTGGATTCAGCTAAGGTCTTGGATAATATGAGATCCTCTAACATTTAGACCAGCTGGGAATCCAGGCGTGGAAGGCCCATCCCTCCCACAGGCCTGATGCCCTGGCCTTCCACCTGCCTCTAAAAGCCATTCAGCAGTGGAGGTAAACCCGAGTGTCCGTCTTCCTGTCCTGCGGCCGCCACCCCTTCCTCACGCCCAGACTGTTCACAGGCCACGTAGGGGTGAGGGCACTCGCCAACTCTGGACATCGGCCCGTCTCATCTCCTGGGAGCTCGGGAAGGAGCCGATGCTGTTCCCCCACCTTGCAGAGCGCAAGTGAGACTCTGTGAGCACATACCACCTGCACAGCTGGCAGCATCAGAGCTAAAGTCAGAACGTGGGTGCCCTGGCTCCAGAGTCTGTTTCCAGCTCCGAAGTCACCGGGAGTTAGCAGGAAGGGCACACGGGGGGGCCTGGGAGGAAGCGGGACCAGAGGTAAAGTGCAAGACCCCCAGAGAGGGCGGAGGGCAGAGGGCGGCTCGGAGACATGGTCCCAGCTTCGCCCTGTCCTGTTCTATGTGTTTACCTTAAACCTCTGCTTATGCAAAACAAAGCATCAATCTAAGTTCTCACCTGACCAGTTCATTTACTATGTACTATAGTTATGATCATGTAGTTCCCATTTTTACATTAAGGTGAAATTCATGTCACATAAAATTAACCATGTTCAAGTGTTCAGTTCAGGGGCATTTAGAGCACTCACAATGCTGTAAGGCTATCACCTCTGTTTAGTTCCGGAACGTTTTTATCTCCATGAAAGAAACTCTTGTACCCATTAAAAAGTCACCCCCAT